GTTTTCTGATTGCGCGTGCTCCATGAAAGTTTTCCCTGGAGGTAGCCAGCCAGAACACCAATCGAGACTTCAAATCATTAAGACTGTGGCAACACAGCAATCCAAAATTGCAGAGCTAATGTGTCAGTCCTAGGACTGAAGCCTGGAAGTCAGATATAGATGCTCTGCACTCTGCACCCTAGCGAAGCATCGCTGAAGTGATCTTCATCTCCACCAGGTCACCAGGTGCGAGATCAGCAGCAACACAGGCACGTGAAATGCCACAGTTCTCTGGCACCCATTCACGCCATACCGAGTCCATCTCATCCTTCATCGCCATGTCTTTCACAAACACCGTGGCCTCAAGCACGTGGCTCTTGTCCGTGCCAGCTTTGGCAAGTCTGCTATCTAACTCCTTCAGGGCCTTGCGCGTCTGATCTGCCACGCTATCATCTGCAGTCTTGCCAGCTGGGAAGGCCACAGTCCACACCAGCCCCGAGCAGGAAACAAATGCAGCTCGGCCTGAACCCGGAGCAGGTGAGGGACCACGGCTGATCTGTGCCTCTGGCTGCACAGCAGTAATCTTCATCTCCACCAGGTCACCAGGTGCGAGATCAGCAGCAACACAGGCACGTGAAATGCCACAGTTCTCTGGCACCCATTCACGCCATACCGAGTCCATCTCATCCTTCATCGCCATGTCTTTCACAAACACCGTTGCCTCAAGCACGTGGCTCTTGTCCGTGCCAGCTTTGGCAAGTCTGCTATCTAACTCCTTCAGGGCCTTGCGCGTCTGATCTGCCACGCTATCATCTGCAGTCTTGCCAGCTGGGAAGGCCACAGTCCACACCAGCCCCGAGCAGGAAACAAATGCAGCTCGGCCTGAACCCGGAGCAGGTGAGGGACCACGGCTGATCTGTGCCTCTGGCTGCACAGCAGTAATCTTCATCTCCACCAGGTCACCGGGTGCAAGATCAGCAGCAACACAGGCACGTGAAATGCCACAGTTCTCTGGCACCCATTCACGCCATACCGAGTCCATCTCATCCTTCATCGCCATGTCTTTCACAAACACCGTGGCCTCAAGCACGTGGCTCTTGTCCGTGCCAGCTTTGGCAAGTCTGCTATCTAACTCCTTCAGGGCCTTGCGCGTCTGATCTGCCACGCTATCATCTGCAGTCTTGCCAGCTGGGAAAGCCACAGTCCACACCAGCCCCGAGTAGGAAACAAATGCAGCTCGGCCTGAACCTGGAGCAGGTGAGGGACCACGACTGATCTGTGCCTCTGGCTCCAAACAGCTGGCTGGCCGTTTCATCATTTAGGGGAAGCGTCGTCTTGACAAGATAGCCTGCTTGAGCCAAGATGGCTACGGACAATCTTGAGGATCTGCTGGGTCCAGTTTGGGAGACGTTCGGGCCCTCTTGGGCGGTCTTAGCTCTTGAGTGGTCTTGGGGCTCTCGTGGGTCATCGCGGGCTCCTCTGAGCTGTCGTTGGAGCCTCCTGAGCAGTCGCGAGGCCATCTGGCCCCACTTGGTCTTTGGGACCTCTTGGACTGTCTTGAGCTCTTGGGGGGGGGCCTCTGGGGCCCGTCTTGGGCACTTCGTGAGGCCATTTCGGAAATGTTCTAGGCTGCATGGGGGAGGTGTTGGAAACCTCTTGGGCCGACTTGAGCATCCTGAGCGGCGGAAACATAATAATGTTGAAATCAAGCCAAAACCAATGATACAAGAATTAACGAATGTTCCCCCTCGGACGACTTCCAAGGCTCCTCTTAGAGCTCCCTGGGCCCATCCAGAGAGCCTCTTGGCAGACCTTCTGAGCTGCCTGCAGCCTTATCGGAGGCGTCGAAGCTGTTCTTGACCCAGATTCGAAGTTCCAGGTCCCAGCTTTTGGTTCGAAATGCCTTCACCCATTCGATATGCATACACACGTATGTATGTATATGTATGCTGCACGAATTAGGTGTATCTATGTTTACACGTGCTTTCTCTGTACATATATCTACTTACATCCGATAATCCTAAGCATCCAGCGTCGGGATTCGGTCGAGAAATGTTAACGGAATCGGTCGATCCATTCCCCAGGGCCGCTTTTCATCATGAGCCATGTGTTGACAGTCCCGGAGCCCGAAACCGGCCGCCTGAGCCTAAAATTGCGAAAAGCCGGCCGTCTCGACTTTGTAGAGCCGCCACCTGCATCAGAGTTCGCCGAGTATCTTCACTTGTGCATCTAGCTATCCAGGAAGCCGTCTGCCCAAATCTGGGCTGAACATTCTGGCCAGGGCCGAGGCAAGAGCTCCGCCTGGGACACGGAAATCCGCCGTCGTGTCCTCGCTGCGCAGCGTGAACCCCCAGAGGCTGGACCCCCCCTCGGGACAGAAAGCTCTCACGACGAGTCGTGCTCGACAGCCCTGGGGCCCAGGAAGGGCCCCACGGAGGCCGAAGCTGGCCCACATCCCTCCAAGAGAACACGCTCCGCGCTGCACCGTCCTCCCCGGCACGCGGGGCGCGCCCGGGGACGGCGCCAGTGCCGAGCCGAGGAGTGCGCGCGGCCCTCCGAAGACTTCCTGTGCGCCTCTGGCATGGCGTCCTCGTCTGTGCTCGCTGTGGACGCTTTGCAGAGAGCGTCAGGCAGGAGGAGGAGGAGGAGGAGGAGGAGGAAGAGGAGGAGGAGGAGGAGGAGGAGGAGAAGGAGGAGGAAGAGGAGGAGGAGGAGGAGGAGGAGGGCGAAGCTGGCTCACAGCCCTTCGCCGTCTTCCGTCACGGCGCGAGCAGGCCTCGCATCTGGCTTTGGGCCGAGGCCGGACTCCGCCTCTCACCAGCCCCGAACGCATCCCTACCCCTAAGACTGACACGCCAAAAGGCGATGACAATCTTAAGGATCCGCCCTCAAAAAATAAGGGGATCCCTAAGATTGGCATCGTGATGAGGAGGTGCTCAGCATAGGGACAGGGATATGTTCCAGGCTGGTAAGCCTCGGAAGCCGGAGGAGCGCGCCCCGCTCCGACGCCGAGGGCGCCCCCGTCGGAATCTGCGGCCAGCACGGAGGCGCGAGCACCCCGCCGAGCTGGGCGCATGCCTGGCGCCAATGCGCGAGAAGCCTCGGGGATCCCTGCTGAGCCCGTTGGGCGTCTGGGCCCGCTAGCCCGCCGAACGAGCTCGAGATCGAGCCCACTCGGCAGGATCAGCCAGCATCCAACCTCGGGAAAGCGAAACGAATCGAAGTACGCGCCGCACTGGGCTGCGTCGGCACGGAGGCGACATCGAAGCGGATCGGCTGCGTCGGGATGCACAACGGCGCCATGCCAGCATCGGACCCCATCGGGCCTCGCCGTCCCTGGGGGGCTGCGATCTGCGAAACCGTCGCCACTTTCGAGGGCTGCTGGTGGGTCCTGCGGAGTGAGGCACCGCGCGGGCCTGAGCGGGACCTCGCCGTCCCTGGGGGGCTGCGATCTGCGAAACCGTCGCCACTTTCGAGGGCTGCTGGTGGGTCCTGCGGAGTGAGGCACCGCGCAGACCTGAGCGGGACCTCGCCGTCCCTGGGGGGCTGCGATCTGCGAAACCGTCGCCACTTTCGAGGGCTGCTGGTGGGTCCTGCAGAGTGAGGCACCGCGTGGACCTGAGCGGGACCTCGCCGTCCTTGGGGGGGGGGCTGCGATATGCGAAATGTCACCATTTTCGAGGGCTGCTGGTGGTTCCTGCGGAATGAGGCACCGCGCGGGCCTGAGCGGGACCTCGCCGTCCCTGGGAGGCTGCGATCTGCGAAACCGTCGCCACTTTCGAGGGCTGCTGGTGGGTCCTGCGGAGTGAGGCACCGCGCGGATCTGAGCGGGACCTCGCCGTCCCTGGGGGGCTGCGATCTGCGAAATTGTCGCCACTTTCGAGGGCTGCTGGTGGGTCCAGCGGAGCGAGGCACCAGGCAGATCTGAGCGGGACATCGCAATCCCCGGGGGGCTGCGAGCCTCACGAATGCCGCTCGCAAAGTATACGCGCCCATGTCACGTCATCACCTCCGTATAACGTCTCCCAAGCTACTCATGCCCCGCATTGCGCAGGGGTTGGGTACGTCGCCAGGGTAATTTTCATTTGTTTTTACCATTTTGGCGCATTGTTCTGTACTTCTCATTTTTCTTCGAAAATCCCCCTGTAGGGGGGCACGCCCAGGTTAAGCCAAGGGGGCATCACCCTGGCACGGACCGCCCCGCCGGCTCCCGGCGGTGTGGGCTTCCTGACGGGCGGCCACTGCCGGATGAGGGGGCCGACGGTGAGCGCGCGGTCGTCGTGCTGCGCGAATGCTTGCCGACAGCTGCGGGCAGGATTTGTATCCATATCCAGTGCGTCGTGGACAGTGCTTGCCGACAGCTGCGGGCAGGACTTGTGTCCGTATCCAGTGCTCCAGTGCTTGCCGACGGCTGCGGGCAGGATTTGCATCCATATCCATAGCCATATCCGGGCGCCACGAGGCCGCGGCGCACTGGATATGGGTTTTAACCGAGCCTCTCTGGGGCAACGTTATCCATACCCAGGGCTCCTCGGGTCTCTGGGGAAGGGAGCCCGACACTCCACACTGCAGCGGATGTGGACAGAAGTCTTGCCCGCAACAGCGACGCTCCGGGCAATGAGGCTGCGGCGCGGCCGTCCTCCATGCCTCCCCAGGGTCAGTCAGCCTCGAGTCGGATCGGCCGTGCCAGGGTGCACAGCAGCGCCATGCAGATATCGGGCCGCATCGGATCGCTGGAATTGGGGAATCGGATCGGATCGGCCTGGCGCCGGAATCGATGGCGAACGGGATCGACCGGATCGAAATGGACACTGCCCCCGCGAAAACTGTCCTCGTGGCTCTGCAAGCCATCACGTTCAGGTCCCTCTTGAACAGTTGGCCTACCAGAAAAGCTGGGAGCGCATCAGTCGGGGGCCCCAAAACGGTGCGGCAAACGGACCGTGCGGTGACCCGGGAATCCCCGCAGACCTCACCGCACAGTCCGTCGCCGCACGAGTTTTGTGACGCCCGAAATGGGTACGGAAAGAACGGGTACAATGCCCAACAACAAATGTTGTCCCAGACCAACAGCGGCCGCTGTTGGGCAGGCGGCCTCCTGTCTCGACTGGACACAGGCCGCGGCGGCGCGGACAGCGAGTCCTGTTCAGAATGAACAAGAACTGCTGTTGGGCCTCGTACCCCTTCCTTCCGTGCCCATTGCGGGCGTCCAGAATTCTGAGACCTCGGAGGCCCCAGCCGTCCAAGACCTCCTCAGAGAGCCACCCAAGCTGCAAAAACCGTGCCGCCGCCCCGAGCCCCCACTGACTGCCCACAGTGTGGTCACCTCACCGCGGGGGGGCCCCCGAGCAGCGCTGGAGCCGCTCGAGGAACCACCGGAGGCCACGCGCTGGCCACACGCGCGGAGGCCCCGCCTGCCATGGGCCACAGAGGGGCCGAGCGCCGGAAGGGCAGCCGGCCACACGCGCACCGAGCCCCAGCGCAGGCTGGCCGCACTGCGTGTGCCCAGCTTCCGGCTGGGGTGACGAAGCCGCTCGTCCTCATCGTCATGCCCCTCGCCCCTCCCCCGGCCCAGACCCTCTCGCGTCGTGAAGAAAAAAACAAGACGGATGACTTCTTGTATGTGGTTCTGTCTCTGGGGGCCCCCACCGAGCCCCGAGACCGAAAAAAGCAAGACGCAGGGCGCAGAGCCGACAACAGGGAAAGGGGTCCAGACCTTTTCACCAGGGCCCGGCTTTTCTATCACCCAAACTCGGCCAGAGCCCTGGACCCTCGTTCTTCTGCTGCATCCTTTTGAGCTGGATTGATCTGAAAAGGCCCTGGAGGCCGAAACGAGGTAAAACCGCCCGTGGCCAAGAAAACATAGCCACGCCAGGATCTCGGGGTCATCATTCCCCTCACACCTCCCCTTCCCTTCCCGCGGCGCCGCCTCTTGCGGCTCGGCGCCCTTCTTCTTTCCGAACGGCAGTGCCGGCAATGCCTGCGGGGACAGCAAGCGACTACAACGACATCCTGACGACGCACCACGGAGGATGTTTTGCGCAGGCCAACAGTTGTCACAGCACCAAAACCAGCTTAGCACTGGTTGTGGTCGATGTGGGCGCCCCGGGACGGCCAAATCGACCACAACCACAACCGAAGTGTTCATGTCGAGGTCGGTGGGTTCTCCCCCACACAACGTAGACCCCCGGAGATCTCGACCTCCTCCCCAGGACCCATTTTGCATCCAGAGTTGCAGACGGTCCCGAGGCCTGGAAAGGGCTCCTGGAGGGAAGCTAGCGAACAACCTCCCGTCGTGATTGTTTCACAACGTGAGGGGGTCTGGGCCGAGGGGCCCTCCAGAACTCCACTTAGTTTTAGGTTGCGCGTGTCCCCCTACGGGCTGAT